TGTCACCCCATGAGAAATTAAGTAGTCAATAGTAAAATCTGCAGCATGATTAAATTACGTGGAATGCAGTTCCAAGATTGTTTGTTACCATTAAGGAAGACAAACGTTGAGTCCTTCAAATTCTCTTGCTCAGTAGTTGCAGTTCTCTTCCACTCCTTGGAAATCTTCTAAGCCATTCTTTTCCTTTTAATTTTGCTCAGGCACCCAAGAACATAAAGAGTTAATGCCCTTGTAATGGTCATTTGTACATAAAGTTGTAATTATTTATTTTCTCATTTGTACCATATCAAGGCTTTGTACAATGTTTTAAGTTTTGTTTTCAAATTATTTTGTATTTTATTTTTATAAACTGGTTCTAAATAAAATACTCATTCAGCATGCAAAACTTCAGTTCTTGATTGTGTTTGTATAATGATGTAATTATTTATAAAGCTTCAGCTGAATTTTTTTCAGTATTTTTTTATTGTTGTAACCCTGTACTTTAAATGGAGAAAGTGCTTTGACAGTGATTTATTTTTTCTGTTACAAGAAAGCAAAAAGCAAGTGTCTGTTGGTACTACTGTAATATGAGTCAGATGCTCATGTTGCAAGTCAGAATGATTGGATCAATGGAAGTTTTACTGATTTAGTACGTTCATGTGTTATATATTAATAAGAATAGAAGAACTCAACCAGAACTCCTCAGAAACCTCCCTTTCTACTTGCTCTTGCTCTTATCCATGCTGTCTGTATTCAGCCAAACAATAAATGATTGCCACAGCCAGATCAGATCAATTTTAGTAACAATATGGTGGATTCCAACCTTGTCATTCTGAGAAGCCAGCTGCTGCTGCTTTTTTTTTTTCCCCCTTAAAAATTATAATTTCTTATTTAGTCAGAGGCCACTGTACTTGATTTCTTTGGAAGCGATCAGCTGTCTGGATGTAGTCACTGAGCTTTTACAGCCTCTTGAGGAGACCTGTCATCTTCTGTACAATACACTTCAGTGGCAGATAGCAGAGAAATAAATAAATGGAAGTTGTTACTCAATCTGAGCAGTTTATGCTATGGAAATGCAGTGTTAAGCTACCAGTTGCTCTAGTTTCCTCCAAAATCCTTTCATTTCTCTTTCTAGTAAAACTAGCTAAAAGTAGAGTATCATATCATCACAATTTTTATTTGCGGTTTATGTGCCTACATGTCTTAGTCCTTGTATGCTGTGGAAAATACTGCCTGCTCTTTATGCAGCAGAACAAGGTTTTTAGGGAAGTCCAGAAGAATTGGAGAAAATTCCCTGGATCTCTTTCTTGGCAGTATCACTGTTATGCCTTGTATGTAAGGCAAATTAAAAGCCAGCTCTGCCCTTGTTCAAATCATTGGCAGTATTTTCATCAAGCTTCGTGACCAGGTCATTAGCTCTTGTCATTTATATAAATAGCCCGAATGGCTTCACACGACAGGAAACAAATTGGGAATTCATTTACTCAGTAACATTCCAAGAAAATGATGTTTCATCTTCTGTTAAGAACAGCCAGAAATTTAATGGCATGCTTCTGGATGGTATGTGCTTTTGGTGCTCCCAACAGAACCATCATTTGATCACAGAAAGGGTGCATAAAGAAATAGCAAGCCACCTCTATTAATTTGAAGATGAAAATAACAAATTTGCACACTCTGTACTGGTGACAAGTAGCTCAGCATCTTTCCTTGTTTAAAACATTATGTAAATCCGGATCATACCAGAAATGGAAGAGTGGTTTTGATCTGGCTCCAGTATATGTTAGCGGTATAACTGACAGACTGTGGGGAAGAAGCAAGATTGGAACAAAGATGCTGTGGCAGACCGATGTTGAGGTCTGGTGGTTGTCTGGCCACTGAAGTGTCTTTCAGCATTGCCTGGCTTGTCATCTTCATTCATACAGGAGATCCAATCTGCCCACTCTGCTTTTAGGATCTTTGGGAAGCTGTGCTTCCCTGCACTTGTACTGTAGCTGCCTCTCATTTAAATTTGTACTCGAACATGAGGAAGCTATGTAGCACACACAAGTCAGCTCTGCCTATGTTGGGGCCCGAAAGGAGTTGTTTAGGATGGCCTCCCTCCTCTTGGGACCAACAATCAAGTTCGTGATACCCCTGGACTGAATTAAGGTGAAACGACACCAGCCAACCAGTTTAACAATTTATTAATACAAAATACAAGGCATGAGGTTAGATGCAATAACTCAATGGCAACTACTTGTTTGACTAGTTGAGTTGTCCAGTTAAGTCCCCTGCCACATGTCTTTCACAACCTGATAAAGAGAGGAGGAGAGAGAGGGACAGAGACAGACAAAGAAGATATCGCCACCCACGGATCTAGCGCCATCCTGTTGGTCCTCTTGATTATTGGTGTCTTGGTGGTGGGGGGCCCCCCCAGCTCCTGATGGTACCATTTTATACAGTCCGAGTCAAGGCAACGGCATGTTTGCCACTTGGACTTTGGTACCCACATGATGATCGTGTGATGTCTCCAGTCCGCTGCACGTGCAGATGTGTTCTTAGGGGGTTGTCAGTTGTCGGGTGCCCCCACTAAGTGTCGTGACTGCCAGTCGATCTTTCATTGTGCCTGCACCGTAGAGATCGTGCCAGGGATTGCACCAGGCTGTGGGTTCTTATCGTCTTGTGGTTTCTTCTGTACCAAGAAACGTTTAAGACAATGCTGTAGTAAGCGAAATTCAAGAATTAACAACTGGAGAAGGAACTGAAACATTGCAAGAAAGTCAGACAGGTAAGAATTGGCTGTTGCAACCTGGACAAGCTCAAACTGCTGCCCAAGAGGACCAGGGAAACTTTAGATCATGTTTTGCTAATCTACCTGGAATGTCATGGTAGCATTAATTGGCTTCTTTGTCCATGAGAACAAAATAGAAATTGAAGGGTACCTTCTTCAGTTACAGAAAACACTGCTCGAGAGAGCCCATCTGTACTAATGGGGGAGAAATAATGCTTCCAACCAGTTAGTTTGGAAAGCTTTTAACAACATAGACTCAAAAATCAGATTTAGTATTAGTCCTTTCCCCATTTTTAAAACCAGCAATTTATGAATACGGTAGTGATACCTGTCACCCACACCATCTCCTTTTGTTACGGTAAACCTGAAAATGAGAACCTCCTCTTCTTCAAAGCATTAATCCCGATTAGCAATGTGCTGTACATGCTTATGTGTTAATTTTGTGAGATATTTCCATGTTTTACTCTATCTATGATGCTGAAGGGAAACACTTGATAGCAACGTTGACTAGTTCACGTTTTATTAGGTGGCAGCTGTCAGTTTTTGAGGCGTGTGTGTGTGATTGGTACACCGTAATGGTGTAAGGGCAGAAGTAGAAGAAAGTACTTAAAAGTACATTTTCATATGGTATAGTGCTCTGCCAAAGCTGACTGCAAAAATGACGTATCTTACCCTATGGTTACACGTTCTTAATGCTGCTAGGAGAGGGACAATTGCACTGCCATTTTCTACGTCATTTGTATTTGCGGAATTCTTGCAGCGGGAATGCTTGTGCAAAATGACTGGAAAACTAGAGGCAGCTAGTCATTGCTATAGGCCAAATTTATCTGTAGAATTTTAATATCAGTGATAAATGCTTAAGAAGAGGACGTGCATGATTTTTCAGGTCATCGGATAAAATTGCAGGTGAGAGGGTTTTTATTTTCCCTCCAGTAAGGACACTGGACGTATGAACACAGCACCGCTGCTAGTTTTGAACTGTGCAAAGTAAAGCAATTCTAATGTATAAGCCTTAGACATACCAGCCTTAAACACATCTTAAGACTAGTGCCAGTGACAATAGTTTTCTCCTATCTGAATGTGAAAAGGAGATTTTTCTTTTTCACGTTAGTATAAAATGATTCCTTTGTGCTTGTTTCCGAGTTGACACTTAACAGGTTATTTTTTGCTCCAACTCCACTTTCTTCTTCCTTGGATATATAGTCAAGAGAATGGAAGATTTTATTAATCTCTCTGATTGATAGGTGAAAATGAAAGCTTCATAAACTATGCAGGAGCATTTGTTCTGCCTGGAGCAAAGTCAGCCCCTGCCTCCTGCAATTTATTTAACAGCAAATCTAATTTCTGTTTCATGTAAAACAATACGGAAACTTTTTTGCTCTCTGTATTTCAAATGTTGTAGTATTGATTCCAGAAGGCTTGCAAAATCTGTTGGAAGATACGGCCTGCTTATAAACCATATGGGGAAAAATTATTCCATGTCAAAACCAGGCATTGCTCATCAATTACTATTTTTTGCTGTATTTCTCTGCTTTAGTCATGTGACAAGAAAGAGCCTACCCTGCTAGTCCAGTAAAACAAAATGCCTTTGAGGAAAAGGTGCATTTGACAAGCTGGGAATGAACAAGAGCCAGGTGGAGCAATGCTGTGTGAATTCTGAGGAGTACATTCATGAATCAACAGCTCAGTCCTAAACCATTTGTAGAGTTAAGCAGGTATGTCAAACTCTTCCTGCGATGCCTTGCACAGCTCAGACTTGCTTAAAAAAACAACAACCAAGCAAACACCCCCAACACTATAATCAGAAAAAGCAAGTACTTAAAAAAACCAACTACTTCTGACGTCTGTTTAATCAAAAAACTGCGCAACTCGTGCAAGACAGCTCCTGCTGGTCACCAACGATAACGTTACTTTTTTACCCAACTCTCATGCCTTTTATTTTTCAAAAGGTCACATAAAACAAAGGATGATACAGACAAGAGTCTTAGTCAAAATAAATCTGTTTTTTTGTTTGTTTGTTTGTTTTTAAGAGAGTAAGAGGATAAAGAGAACGGAAGAAAATTATTAGCCAACTGCAACAGAGTTAACCAACAGGAGACTGGTAATTAGTGTTTAATGCCACCTATTGCGAAATGTTTCCCACTGGGAAAAATGTGGGAGGCAAGTCCACTTTGCTCCTTTGAAGTCACAAGCCGGAGCAGAACATACAACAGCACCTAACACCACAGTCACTTTACATATATTCAAGTTTTCACACATCTGCAAAGCAGAAGTAGTAGCAGCCATTTGGATGTTCTTTCTTAATGGTTCTCAGGGGGGGCCTAGGAAATTCAGAAGGACCTGGTTCTTGTGACATGGAGCTGGAGCTGCAGCTGCTGCTTCTGCTGCTGCTTCCAGCCACCTGCGTTCTACCTCTGTCCTCAGCGGGGGAGACCTGGGGGGAACCTGGGCTCAGGTACCCAGCTGTGGTCTGAGTAGAGGTGGTGGCATACGTGGTCGGGCCAGTGTTGTTTTTCACGTAGACGTTTTTGATGGCAACAAGTGTATGCGCCATGATGCTGAGGCTGTTACTCAGCTCTTGCATGCCTTGCTGCAGCAGCCGAAGGTTGTGGTTGACACTGTCAAAGCCAGACTGGATCACCTGCATCTGGGTCTGCTGAATCTGCACGAGATCCTCTTCAGTTATTTCGTTTTGGTCTGCCTGGGACCTGCCTTTTGTTTTGGCTTTTACTTTCCCAGAGGAACCACCGCCCGATGTCCCCAGAAAAGGTAGTTGTTCTTGGCTAGGTGGAACCACTGCCATGTCCTCAGAGCTTTCTTCTGGCTCTACCACCTTCACTACTATTTCTTCTTTGAGGTTCATCTTCTCAAGACCGGATTGATGAGATGGGCCGGGATTGTCATTAAACCCTAGAGGTGATGGGGGGAGAGGAAAAGCAAAGGAGAGTCAGTGAGAAACCTCATGACCTTAGTGGTCAGCGAAACGTGCGCTCGTCCACTAAGGGCTAACCTTAGTCCTTGAGCCAAGACTCTACAACTCGCGCTGCGTTACCCCTTGGTGCTTTAAGAATGCACATTACCTCGACAGGTGGGAAGAAAACCCCGGAGGCGCATTCACCAGTTAAGAATATATTTACACACTACGGATCCCTCACCGGCCCCACCACAGAAGCCGGGTTTTAGGTTCCCAGAGACAGAGGTCCTTGCAAGCTCATTTCACGCTCCACCCTGCGCGCGGTCACCGGTAACGGCATTACCGAAACGCTGTGACTGCAAGGAACCCCTTGGTATGGAAGGCGGTCGTTTCCGCGCACTGAGGCGATCTCTCCCTGGTACAGACGAAGTGACGAACTCGCAGCGCTTTGCACTGACCGCCCAGGACTGCGCGCTGGCACGGCTTTTCGCGCT